AACATGTACGCCATCACCCACGACGAGAAGATCTGGTCTAACCCCAACGAGTTCAAACCCGAGAGGTTCATGGAAGAGGATGTCCCAATCATGGGTTCAGACCTGAGGCTGGCACCTTTCGGAGCAGGACGTCGTGTCTGCCCCGGAAAGGCAATGGGTATGGCTACTGCTCAGCTGTGGTTGGCTCAGATGCTTCAGAACTTCAGGTGGGTTCCGACCGAGAATGGTGTGGACTTGACCGAGTGCCTCAACCTTTCCATGGAAATGAAGTCGTCTTTGGTGTGCAAGGCTGTTCCTAGGATCTCTGCTTAATTCAACTAGTTTGTCTATGTTAAGAAGGTTATGTGTGTGCTATCATAGCCACTAGTAAGTACTTTAATTATGGACTAACATAAGTGATTTTCTTCATAATTTTGCACATTTCGGAAATGGAGAAATTGTCACATAGATTAAAGCTTTCAAACTTAGTAGTAGTTTGTTAGCTTTTAGATGGTTATTGGCAACTTGTTATGTAATGTGTAGCTGTTCAAAAACCAAAAATTAATGTTCATTATCTGTTTTTAGTATCTGGTTTGGTGCTCTCAATTTTTCTGTTTTTCTGCCTTGTATTTTTTTGCTGATTTTACTTGCAGTTTATGCGGATATTGGATATTTCATAGGATACTGCCTAAAATTCTTGTTAATTTCTCTCTCTCTCTCTCTCTTTTTTTTTTTTTTTTCTTTTTTCCTTCTCTCTCTCTCTTTAGTATCTTGTTTTGAGCTCTTATTTTTTTAGTTCTCTGAATTCTAACTAAATTCTTGTTGGGGATGTGATTCGTTTTGTGAAAAGCTGGTGGAGTGGTGATGTGTGCTTAAATGATATTAATTCTACCTATATTGTGCTCATTCCGAAATGTGATGATTCGAAGAGTATGTCAAAATTCCGTCCTATTACTTTATGTAATATCTTATATAAAATCATCTCTAAGACACTTGCAAATAAACTTAAACCGATGCTTGAAACAATTACTTCAATTCAACAAAGTGCGTTTGTTCCGAAAAGACTAATAACTGATAACGCACTAATTGCTTTCGAAATTTTTCATGCCATGAAACGGGGAGGTGAAGGTCAGGATGGTACTGCTGCTTTAAAATTAGATATGATTAAAGCATATGACAGGGTAGAATGGAGCTTCTTGGAGAGAGTTATGGCAAAATTTGGCTTTAGTTTGCCGTGGATTATTAGAATTATGCATTGTCTCTCCGGTGTCTCTTTTTCTTTCAAGTATAATGGGATGATTACGGACCGGGTTCTCTTACTCCGTCACGTGGTTTGAGGCAGGGGGATCCTATTTCTCCATATCTTTTCCTTCTTTGTGCAGAGGCTTTTTCTACATTGCTCTCAAAAGCGTCAGCGCAGAATCAGATTCGGGGTGTTCGGATTTGCAAAGGGGCCCCGAGGATTTCTCATTTATTTTTTGCTGACGATAGTATCATATTTGCAAAAGCAAACTTGCAAGAATGCTCTAAAGTGGCCGATATAATCAGTACGTATGAAAGAGCATCCGGTTAGAAAGTTAATCTAAGCAAGACATAAGTAACTTTTAGTAAATGTGTTACGATAGCACAAAGAAGTGCAATTGTGGAGGCTCCTGGGGTTCGAGAGGTCGACAGGCACGAAAAGTACTTGGGGCTTCCAACTATAATTGGGAGATAAAAGAAGGCAGTCTTCTCTTGTTTGAAAGATCGAATATGGAAGAAAATGCAAAGATGGAAGGAGAAATTGTTATCGAGACCGGGAAAGGAGATCTTAATTAAAGTCGTCGCCCAAGCAATTCCCACTTAAATGATGAGTATCTTTAGAATCCCGGATGAACTTATTGATGAAATGCTTGCTATTTTGGCACGATTCGAGGGTTCAGAGAGAAAAATGCATTGGCATAGTTGGGAAAATTTGTGTTTACCGAAGTCATGGGTGGCATGGGATTTAGAGACCTCAAGTGTTTTAATCAAGCGTTGTTGGCAAAACAATGTTGGTGGTTGATGAAGGATGGTAACTCCTTACTGCAGTCCACTTTGAAGGCTCGCTACTACAAAAATTCTGATTTTTTAGATGCTTCTTGTGGCTTTGATCCGAGTTATAGTTGGAGAAGTTTGTGGGGGGCGAAATCCCTCCTTCTTGATGGACTTAAGTGGCGTGTTGGTAATGGATTTTTGATACGAGTCTGAGATAATTCCTGGTTGCAAGGGGATTGTCAACATTATGTACCTACACCTTTACCCCACTATTATCCCGAGTTGCGTGTCTGTGATTTGATCGATTTTGACAATGGTCGATGGAATGTTGATGTGTTGAACGACAATTTTAATGAAGCTGACTGTAGAGCTATATTGAATACCCCCTATCTATAAGTTGGCCCTGTGATGAGAGATTTTGGTGGCAACGTCGTCTGATGGTTTGTACTCGGCGAAATCTGGTTATTGGTTAGGGAGACTTGGGCACCTTCGCACATGGGAGCTGTTCTATGGCAGTTCTGAAACTAGCCTATGGAAACAGGTTTGGAGCTTGGGTGGACCACCTAAACTTAGCCATTTCATTTGGAGAGCTTGCAAGGGAACTCTTGGTGGAGGGCGCCCCCATTACTCACTGTGAGAAACGTTTTTGTTTCTCACAGTGGCAATTTCGTAAATAAAATATACCACTTTAGTCACAGTGGTACATTTTATTTACGAAATGGATGATAAAATTGTACAACTTTAGTCACGGTGGTACATTTTATTTACGAAACTGCCACTGTGAGAAACAAAAACGTTTCTCACAGTGAGTAACAGAGATTTACTGCTCTTGGTATGATGGATGTCCTGTACAGACGCCATATCAGGCCTTCGAAGTGCTGCAATGTCTGTGAAGGGGGGGATGAGACAATAACACACTCCCTTTTTCATTGTAATTTTGCTCTTAAAATTTGGGAGCAAAGTGAGTTTATGCAGCTACTAAATGAAGCTCCTATGTCTTGGTTTTGGGTGGCTGGGAAGGTTGATGGGGAGAGGCTACGTTTTTTTCTGCTCGCTTGCTTGGGCTGCGTGGCACTGCAGAAACAAGACTATTTTTAATGGTAAGCTGGTGTCTAATCCAGTGAGTGTGGCTGTGGGTTTTGTGAAGCTGTATGTGGATTATACCACGTACAATTCGAAGGTTCAGATGAAGGTGAATTCTTTACCTGTCACTACTAGAAAACAGGCCATTTTCGACGGAAAAATTCCGTCGTAAACACCCTAAATTCCGTCGGAAAACACTGTTCCGACGGAATTTCCGTCGTAACTGGTTGTCGAAACACCCTTTGTAGGTAAAATCGCCAATTCCGTCGGAAAAATCAATTCTGACGGAAACAGTTTTTTCCGGCGGAATTTTCGACGGAATTAATTCATCGGAAAATATATTCCGGCCACCGGAAAGTCCATCGGAAAATTCCGACGGAATACAAATCCGCCGGATTATTCCGACGGAAATTTCGTCGGAATGTCCTGCAAAAAAAACAAAAAAAAACACGGCGCGCCACTATCAGCACGACGTGTCACCACCTCAGACCACCAACCACCACTACATCAGACCCACCCTAACCCACGCATAACCACCCACCCTAACCCAGACCCACCATAACCCAAGCACACCCTAACCACCTCAGCCTTAACCCAAACCCACCCTAACCAAAACCACCCTAACCCAGACCCACCCTAACCACCCCACCTCTTTACCCAGACCCATCCTAACCAACCACCTAACCCACGCATCCCAACCCCTTACCCACAGCACCACCAACCCCAACCCAGACCAGACCCCCCACCCCCCCAACCCAAACCCGACCAAACTTCCCCCACCCACCATAACCAAACTTACCCCACCTACCCTAACCAACCACCTAACCCACCCACCCTGACCAACCACCTAACCCAAATACGAAAAAAATACGAAAAAACGAGAAAATAACAAAATAAAACCCAAATCGGAAACGCCAAATCTACCTAGATCCAGCCCCAATTCCCTTACCAAAAATCAAAACAACTAAAAATTGAAACAACCAAAACTCAAAACAACCATAAATCGAAACAACCATAAATCGAAAAAAATAAACAAAAAAAAATTGAAATCAAACAAATTAAATAAATATACAATTATCTTCTGAAATTAATAAAATAACATTACAATTATATTAAAAATTTAATTATAATTAGAATTGTTTTTTTTTAAAAAAAAAAAAAAAACTAGATCTACAGTTGTTATTGTCGTTGCTGCTTGGGCTGGTGTTGTTGTTGTCGTTGCGGTGGTTTCCACGCTACTAGGGTCGTTGTTGTCGCTGCGCGGTGGCCGGAATGGTGTGGTTGTTGTTGTTGTCGCCGTTGAAAAGAAGAAGAGGAGATCGAAAAAGGAGAATGACATGGCCGGAATGGTGTGGCTGTGAAGGAGGAGATCGAAGAAAGAGAGAATGAGAGGAGAAGGAGAAGAGAGGAGAGAGAAAGAGAAGAAGAAGAGGCGTAGGGGAGGAGAGGAGAGAGAAACGAGAAATAAAAGGGGGGATCCGGGTATTTTTTAGGGTTGTGTAGGGTTAGGTTTTTTTTATTATTTAATTACATTCCGACGGAATATTTTTCGTCGGAAAATAAAATTTTCGACGGATTTTATTTCCGCCGGAAATTTAATGTATCGACGGAATAATCCGTAGGAAGTTTCCGACGGATTTTATTTCCGTCGAAACATTAAATTTCCGTCGGAAATCCCATAAATTCAGACGGATTTTTATTCCGTAGGAAATTTCCGACGGAAATTTATTCCGCCGGAATTTACTGAATTTCCGACGGAAAAACATGTCCGTCAGAAACGGTCCGTCGGAAATCAGCCTATTTCTAGTAGTGTGTGAGTTCAAACTCTAGATGGCTTCCCCCTTCTGCTCCCATGGTAAAAGGGAATGTTGATGCCCATGTAATGGCTGGAAATGGGGTGAGTTTTGGAGTGGTTATAAGAGATGCGGGCTGGAGAGTTACTAGTAGCTGCAGTCAAAAAGCTCGATGTATGCTGGTCCCCGGACTTGGCAGAAGCAGGTGTTGCTGCTTTTGGTGTGAAGTTTGCCAACAGACTTGGATACAGGGACGTGGAACTAGAGTGTGATGCAATTAATGTTGTTCAAGCAGTCAACAGCAAACACAAAGGTGCTACCCCGATTTATTTGTTCTATGAGGATATCATTAGAGCAAGTTTAGACTTTAATTCCTTTATTTGTAAGCATGTTAAACGAGGGGAAAATGTAGTTGCTCATTGTGTAGCACGGTGGGAAACTACCTATTGGACTGAACGTATTTGTATGTCTGTTTTCCCCCAAAGCCTAGTTGCTTTGGTGGACTTGATTTAATTTAATAAAATCCCGCCCTCGTTTGCTGAAAAAAAAAAAAAGGTAAATTCTTGTTAATTTCTTGTTTTTGTATCTTGTTTTGAGATCTTACTTTTCTAATTCTTTGATTTCTATTTAAATTCTTGTTAGTTTGTTCTTTTAGTATCTTGTTTGGAGTTCTTTTTTTTTTTTTTTTTTTTTTTGCTAGGAAAAATCAATGAAAATTAAGGCATAAAAAGAACTGGGAGTCATTTAGACAGTCATCCTAAATTATTACGTGCTTTGGATACTAATTATAGATTAATTTAAATAATTTATCAAATTAATTTAGAAGTCATTTGGACAGTCATAACTAAATAATTACATGCTTTGGATGTAATGTTAGATTAATTTACATACTTTATCAAATTAATAGCATAAAAAGAGAGAAAAAGTTATTGGAGATAATAAAGTGTGGTGGTTTATAGTCATAATAACTAGTAAATGCATATGTCAATGTCATGTCGTTGCATTAAGATTAGAATCACATTCTTTAGCAATCTCTGTCACAAATCACAATCTTTTAGTTTTGATGGTAATGAAGTTCTATAGAATGCACTAAAATTGTACTGATGAATAAACATATACTAGTAATATTTTATTATAAGTTCTCTTTAAATAGATAAAGAACTTAAATACGAAATCATTAGTGCTAAGTATAAATGTTAGCGACTTAGCGATGAATAGTTTTTGTTGTGTAAAATTTTCTAGTATGGACCATTCTCAATTTCTTCACAATTATCTTGTTCCAAAATATAGAGCTATTAAAATTGATTAGGGAATATCCAAGCATGAAGGTAAATTAATTTTTTCTCAAATGATTTTTTAATTGATGTAATTTTTGCTTGTATATGGGAATTGATGATATCTGATAAACCTACATTAAGGATCATTGAAATATAGATGATAGAAGAGAGCGATGTAGTGGATTGTTCAGTTCATTATACTAATTTCTTTATTTTATTAATTACTCCGTAATAATGATTATATATATATTTTTTCTACAATCAAATATTATTTCAACTACTGAGGGGCAATGAGTGAGGTGATGAAAAAAGTGCTAGCGAAGAAATGGTTGGATCGGTTAACACGGAAAAATTTAAAACTAGAAAGAAGGGAGGGAGGAGCAAAGGTGGGAAATAAAAGGGGGTAGAAGGAAAATCTTGAAAGGAGGTTGGAGGCATAGAATTAGAAGAAGTGATTGGGAGTGAGCGAGGAAGAGTAGAATCTAAAGGAGGGTGCATTAATTTGACTAGACAAATACATACAGGTTGAAGCATTGTTATTAAAATCCCGATTTAAAATCTTAGAATCTTACGATTTTACGATTCATGTATGTTAAACAATTTGATTTAAGATTCTGCCCGATTTTACACATTTCACGTAACGAGTAAAATCCTTACAAGTTTAAAACATACCTACAAAGTTATTTATAAATATCTATTGTCAATTATTGGTTGCTTAATAGGTAAACAACTAGTTTCTATTAATAATTAGGTTTCAATTTCATAATTTAAATGTATTAGGGGACATAAAGAGTACTCAGCAAAATATCGCGCCAGACTTGTTGTCAACTTTTCAGTTTGCATGACAAGACTTAAGAGACTGTCTGTAACAAAAAACAGGTCTCTTTAATCAATAGTTTTTTTTTTTTTTGTATTTTTTTTTTTGAGAATGGGGGTATTTTTTGTATTTTTTTTTGAGAGTGGGGGTACAACTGTACCTCTGTGTACCCCCTGGATCCGCCACTATCAGTAGATCAGATGCAACAGATCTCTTACTGAACCAACCAGACAACTCTTAATAAACTCCTTAATCTGATCATCTGCTACTGCATTTTAGTGCAGCAGGCATTACACCTCTCATAATCATCATCTCAATCTCATTCCAATTCCTGCATTCACTGTAAATATTTTCTCTACTCATCATCTGAATTCTGAAAGCACACATCCCGAAAGAATGTATATCAATGTGATACCGAATATATGTAATCAAAGTTTATCTTGTAATTATTCTTGATTAATTCTTATTACGCATAATCTAAATATTTCTATATATTCTCATATTTCCTCTTTTTCCCTTCTTTTTTATTCTTTGGCTTTTATTTTAGCATTTAATAGTGTCTTAAAAATATTCAATGAATATTTGAAGCAAAAAAAAGTACAAAAAATAAACAATAGATTAAAGTTACAAAATTAAAAATAAATCATGTGTACAACACACTCTTATCATTCTGGTTAGAAAAATGGTTAAACGTTGTTTCGCTAATTTTTATACCAATATGTAGCCACTCAGTTAACTTTTATACTAATTAGTTGACACTTGCTAACTTTTATACCAAAATATGTCGTTGACCCTAATTTTTATACCAATATGTCACAAAAGTGCTTATTTTTATACCAATATGGTTAATTGCCCCAAACAAAGATTGTTGTGGAATTTTTTTATTATAAAAAATAAAGTTAATTCTATTTTTCCTATAACTTTTTTATTGTGCGCTGGTGCGCTAAACTGGTATGCTTGTTAAAATTGCTAATGGAAGTACTGTGGTATCATGAATTCATGAATGCCCGAATAATTTTCATTATAAGCAAAATGCCTCTATTGTCACACTCAGAATTTAGAAGTAATCCCTTTAAAGGTTGGTTGTTAGAGCAAGTTAGTGCGCAAATCGGTGGTGGTGTTTCAGGCTTGTTCTCAGCCTAATGTAGATTGATCAAAACCCCTTTTATTATAAACAACACTAAATAAATAGATTAGCAGGTTAAAGACTCCCTAACCTTATAAATCACAATTTTAGATAATAACACAACTTTCACAATTTCAAGCATTTCAATGTTTTAGCATTTTTTTATGTAAAGACCTACATGTAATGTAGTGTTATTTAACTCACTTCATGCTAACACATATAAGAGAAAATACAAGTTCATCTTTGTGATAAACTTGAAGCGTTTATCTAAGGGTATAATTGTTCATTTGCGTATTTAAGTATTTGTTTATCTAAGTATGGCTAATGTTGCATTATATAGTTTAATTGTCGTAAAAACACTCAAATAAAATATTTTTAAATACTCTGGCACAATTCCCAAGGCATTGTATTTACTCTAATGTCATTAGATAAACGCCCGTTTATCATCAAGATAAACGCCCGTTTATCATCAAGATAAAGCGGGGCTCCCCCAACATATAACCTATTGAAGAAGTCTTTATATATAAGGAAAGATTGTTATTATTAATCCCAACTTTAGGCCATTTACTTTAATTAATCCCAATTATCGATTATTCCTGAATAATCTCAATTTGAAGGGGCGTTTTCTTTTATCAGGTCATAACCGGTCAACAAAAGTCAATGACCTATTATAATAGGTTACTTAACACGTATCAAGCCTTGATTGGTCCAAAAAATTAAAAAAAAAATTCAAAACAATTTAAACAAAAATGAAAAAAAAAACTAACCACCATCAGCCCCAAACCCCTCCCGCAAAACACACCCACCCCCTCCTTTCCTCCCGCCGGCGATTACCCCAGGCCACCCCTTGAAATTCCGACAACCTTCCCCATAACACAACCATGCCAAAGCATGAATTGCAAGTACAAAGAAAGAACCCAACTTTGGAGAAATCAAGGATGTTATTCGATCGGAGAGGGTGATTCCGGTGATGTTGAGTTTGAGGCAACCCCTATGAGTAAACCCGAATTCGTCAATGGTTAAATATGGGTCGATTGTCAGATTTGCTTTTGTTTTGATCGGATTTCAGCGGAGGAGAGAGAAAATAAGGTTAGGAAGAAGAAGAGAGTTACGGTGGTGATGCGGTGGCAGTGGGTCGATTTTGAGGGTTGTGGTTAGGAGATAGGGAGTTTTACGGGGTGGGTGAAGGGATGGGGAGGTTGTCGGCATTTCCCGGTGGCGGGGGGGGGGGTGGGTGGGGCGGGGCAGGGAGGGGGTGATGGTGGTTACCGGTGGGGGAAGGGGGAGGAGGGATGGAGGGCTAACGGTGGTTTCCAGTTTTTTTTTATAATTTTTTTTTTGTTTTATTGTTTTTGACTAATTAAATTAAGACCAAAAAAAATTAAAGATTAAAAAAAATTACCTTTTAACCGGTCATTTGACCAGATAAATGAAAACACCCATCAAAGTTAGGATTATTAAAAAATAATCGATAGTTGAGATTAATTAAAGTAAATGGCTCAAAGTTGGGATTAATAACAACAAATTTTCCTATAAATATATATTGTCAATTATTGGTTGCTTAATGGGTAAACAACTATTTTCTATTAATAATTAGGTTTCAAACTCATAATTTAAATATATTTAATTAAATTTGGAAATGATGTCTTGATCATGCGTGTTACGATTCGATTCTAAGAGCCCTTTGCGATTCAAATAGCCCCTTTTTGAATCAAAGTAGAATCCCGATTTTGATAACTTTGGGTGGAAGGAGAGAGAGTGAACAAAAGATCTTAAACAAGAACGTAAAAATGAGACACTAAAATACATAGAAATTTATGGGGTGGTATGATTAGGGAGAAGGTGGTGTGTCGACGGTGATGGGTGTGGTGATTGGTGTTTGGTGCAATGGGCTAGTGGTGCGATAATGTGATTATTGATAAGCATAGGAATGTTAACCACGATTATAAAAATTGAGCTATTTTAATGTTTTAATCCTCATTAATGTCATGATTCATAAGTGATATTAAGTAATTTTATTCAAATACCAAAGAAAAAGTGCAATTGATTGGGTTGCCAATGAAGTTTTCCAAAATTTAAATTTATTTTATACTCCATTGTCTTTAAATAAGTAGAACGTTTCTCTTATGCACGCGTACCAATGCATAACTTTGATTGATAATATATTTAATCATCGATAAGTAAAATTACAACAATTGAATATTATTAATCTATTTATTGAAACGATTTCAACACGTATCAAGACTATATTTATTCTTACGTATAAATCACAAACATTAGTCAACGTAAATTT